CATTAGTCGGGGCTCACCATCACTTGCCTCAACCAACACAGAGAACAGGCAGTAGTACAGGTATATGGTATACACCAAATTTTGGAGGTGAATATCTCACAAAGGGTTGCACGTACAGGTACAGTTCCTTTGACCATTTTGTTCGTTCAGGGATCTACAATACCCATCATTCAGAGCATCTTAACACACCTTCCATGGGACTTCCTACATTTACAGTAAGTAGTGTTGCCACCTTTTCAAAATCGCTGACACTGACAGCATGTGAGGTTTGTTCGAACAGAGGTTCCTGACGCATGCGCAATGTCATTTTGCAATGTGAAGAATAATGTGCAGTGCATGCTGGTTCTAAATCAGTTATGGTTAGGGACTAGGGAGACTTGGGTAGGAGTAACGTAACTAACTAAATTAAGAAAAAACAACTTCAGATGACTTAGCTCTATTGGATATTGGAGTCACGTACGAATAGAAGTCTTACAAGCAAAGAAAAAAAACAAAAAAAAAAAAAACCGGACGGGTGGTAACACTAACAGTAAGCATTAGACATGTAAAGAAAATCCATAAAACTCCATCTACGAGGCACAAACTCACCACCTGGACACAGATATTCCTTGACTCCTCTCATATAATAAAAAAAATATATATTTTGCAAACTATTAAATTCTGTTAAAATTATGTATTTGTCCTTTTAATTTTTTAAAATTTGTTTACTATTGAATTAAAAAGTTTCTTCATCCTTGTCAGTAAATAGAACAGTTAACCTTGAATTTTCTATTTTTAGTTATTATTGGAATGTCAAAAAATATGTTTTATGGTATAATACGAAAGACATTTAACCATTGTTACAATACAAAGAGATGTATTTTAACGTTATTACGTCATTAAAATATTCATTCGTGCTTTGTATTTACAAAATATGACGAAATATTGGAATATGGCTTACCAATACGTTACATTAACGTGAAGTTTCATCTCGACGTCGCTCTTGTTTTTATCTTTATTTATTTATTTTTCCTTCTTTCTTTTTTAATAACTGTATTTAATACTGCAGATACGTACAAAAATAAACTGCAGACGAACGGTCGTCCGATACTGTAAATAGCACCCTCTAGTTCCTCGATTTAATTTTTTTTTTAAAAAGCTTTTTTTTAAAATTAATTAATGTATTATTTTATTATTTCGTTAAATTCCGATTAATTTGTAAAAACTTAAGTACTGGGTATTAATTCAAGTTTTATTATATAATTAAAAGCGATTTTAAAACCGTTTTCTCTCTGTGGGCATTGCTGCCAGTAAATCTTGGCAACCGTGTTTCATCGATATCAGTTTTATCAATAATTTATATTTTCTAAAATACCAATATCTTATCGTTTCCGTCGCTACTATGAGGTCCATTTTTACCACTCCAATGCGGATTCGGCCGAGCCGTATATACGAGATGAATCTCTGATGAAAAAATTTCATATCTTTCGATTACCCGAATTCGATCGTAGATTCCCCGGAGCTGTAAAATGACGCGGTAAACAACGAAATGAAACTTTTATCTGTTTTTACTATGCTCTTATTAAAAATTTTGCTATATTTTGTCAACATTTTTGTTTTTTAAAATTACTTTTAGATCGCCTCGGAAATCCCGCCGTCTGATTCAGGACAATAAATATACAGTCGACCCTCCGATAACACGGTAGATACGTTCCGGTTTTTACGAAATCCATTTTCTACAAGTCCTTAAATACATGAGCCAATCACAGCCCGGCACGTATTCTAACTGAATAAAGATTGAAACTTGCCTAGTGTTGAAGAAAAGTCACTTCATTATGCCAGTATACAATACATAAATACAACACGGTTTCGACAACAACAATAATATCCGCTATTGGTCTAGATTCGACCAATCCTGCTGCGACAGGAGTCGGCGATGACGTTTTACCGAATTATATTAGTTTTTTTTACCGTGTTTGTACGAATACTGTCGCAATTTTTTCGCCGTCATACAGGAATCCGAACTATATGAACCCGTTTTATAGGGGGTCTACTGTATTTTTCTTTGGAGCTGTAATTATTTATAGCTTCACATTTTTAATATTTTTATACGAATTTCTTAGAATTGGTTACATATTTATCAAGGAATGGTGTTTATCTTTATATATATATATGGATTCAATCGCATTGTGTACCGCAATTTTCACAAATGCCAGAATCAGCATCGTGCTTACATAATATATAAATACATTTTGTTTTTCAAAGTAAAAAGAATAAAATACGACTTAATTTTGAATTTTCTGAAATTTAAATTTTTAATTTATGGCAAAAAATTTGAACTACACTTCGAATTCTTTGCCATATCGCTTAGTAAAGTGGCTTGCTTCAATACAGCTGAATAAGCAAACCCGTTTCGTTTGAAACGAGCCAAGTCATTAGCTCGCTCATCTAGCTGTATTAAAGTCGCTTTACCAGGCAATGTGCCCAAGAAAAGCATTAAAAAATTAATCGAATACGAATTTGTTTTATTGGTTAATGTGTGGTTTTTATTTCGATTGTGAGAACCAAAGTCCATTTACATTTATTATTCTATGTACAGCTCTCCCTTGATAGTCCGACGTTTTTCAATCAGACATGCTCAGTAGTCCGACGCACCTCCCGTCAAGGTGCCCATCCCCGTTACGTGTCTGCTTGCACAGAAGCATGTCGCGACGTGAATCTCCCCATCCAATTCTTNGACTGTATTCAACTGTAAAAGATTATCCTTCTTCCCTAGAACTTGTGCTAAGTATTCAAATACTTCTTGGATGCAGTCCTTATTAGCTCACACAACAGCAAACAAGCCAACTCCAGTTTCAAAAACTAGTTTCTTTCTCTACTGTCAAAAATTCTAAACTGCATTACAGTAATGCAGACACCAAGATATTTTGTAATATAACTTCAAGGAATACTCTAATTAAACATTTACTTCAATCTCTAATTATCAAAATGTTAATCAACTTGTTTTTGTATACTCAGTACTGATTAGTTAATAACTCTGTATAAGGCAAATTGGCAGCACTGTTGCCTTGTTCTCATTGTTTTAACAAATTACATTCATTACTTGTTCTCAAGTACTATTCTCAGAAATTTTCAACTCTTGAAAGTATTTGATTTTGCGCCTAGTTCATTCCAACAAAGACTAATAATGTAGGAGCTTGGGGCCATCAAAAATAAAGTCTGGGAGTTTTAGGTAGGATCTTGCCACCAGATGTGTATTATTGGACTCACCTCCAATTTAGAGTCCAAAGAAATCATATACATAAGGCGTGAGGGCAAGAGTCACTTCGAAGTACAAGAATGAGCCTCTCAGGAGGATGAATGCAAAATCAATTAAACTAACTTAATAATAAAAAATAAAATTTTATAATATTGGTAATGTAAAATCAGTTTGTGTTAAGAATAAGCCAAACTGTCTTTCGGCATTAAGCTTGTTTAGTTTGAAAGATTTTTAATTACAAACAAGCACTTTTGACATTGCAGCATATCATCTCAGATTGAGTGTACAGTGAAATTCCATTAACATGTCATTTGGTATGCCAGCATGACCAGCTTATCTTTGAAGGGGAGTTATTGATGCACTGGGTATTCATCTGTATTTATACATAATTAGGTAGTCAGTTAATTAAAACTAAAAATAATAAATTTAAAAGTAATAAAATAATAATTAAAACTTTGGCCTTTACACCAAAACTGAAACTAAAAGTAAAATNAAGTATAAAATCTGTTCTCAGAAGTTAGCCTATTTCTATTAGTAAAACAGGGGTACTAGCAGGGTATTCAAAACTTTGCGACTCACAACATATCAAGAAAATAATTGTTTTTTCTTCAAAGATCTGTCTTCTTTTCAGTTCCTTTTCCACTTTATTCTTTTCCTTCCTTATCTCTCTCTCTTTTTGCTGACTCTCTTTCTGGATGTTATGTTCACTCTCCTCTCCTCTCTTTCTTTTTCTCTCACTTTCTGCATGATTTTCGTCATTCCCTTTTGTTTTATTCTTTTTTCTAACCAATCACCAACCAATTATTCCGAAGGAAATTGAGGTAATGAAAAATAAGCACGATTAGTTATTCTTTAGTCCTCCTTCTCTGATCTATTATGAATTGTGTGGATAGAGTAACATCTGTCACCTAACACTATTGAAAAAGGGGAGAAATGACATTCATCCCCTTCATCTTTTCCTCTGAATGTTCTAAGATTTATAGTATAACAATTAATTGATAATTTTTTATTCTGATTTGTTTCTTTTGATTATTTTTAATTGATATTGCTAAAAATTTAGAAGGGATCCCTAAAATTGGAAAAATAGGCAAAATTCCTTTACAACATTGTTTGATAAACAAACAATCCCAGTGTCACATTCACACACACATCTTCCAGATGTGAGTGCAAAGGGCATCTTGTACAATAGCTAACAATTGTTTGATGAACACCCAGACAAAACAAACAGGATATAAAATACATATATAGATTAAAATACAATAAAATTTCCAACTTATTATTTAAAGAAAATACATTATTGGCTTAAAATTAAAATTATAAAGATAATGTTGTTAATACTGTATATAACAACAACCAAAATTTTGTGGAATGATGCCTCAGAATATTGACAAAGACTTATACCCTCCCCATCACCATGCCTTTCACTTCTCTCTGAAAAGGTTCGAAAATTATTCTCCAAATAGTTTATCTTGCTCTGCATTGACCCACAATAACTGCAGACAATTTTATTTATTTGTCTACAAGTAGAATTTTGATTTTCTGCTCTATTTGAGTTAATTGGCATTTCTTCACATCCAAAAACACCCATTTCTATATCAGACAGATTTCCACTTGCACTGTTCCAATTTTACTGTAACTTTATGTTAAAAGTTTTTTGTTTTCCATTTACAAAAGTTTTTGTTTTATTCATTCCATTTTAAATTTTAGGTTTTACTGTACCATAAATTATGAAGGAAATTTAATTTTTTAAAAAGTTACTTACAATCTGTAATTGGTCAGGAAAATGACTTTCCAGGTCTTTTTTAAAAGCCCTGTACTAGAAAATAAATTAGGAAATAAAATTAACTTGTCACATTTTAATGTGTGATATACCGTATTTCAATAATTTAAAATTCCTATAAATTTTAAGATTATAATTAAGAATGATGAAAAATAATAATAATAATAATAATAAATTTGATTGCCTTAAAATTTACAGCAAAATTTTATAAGAAAATATTTAATATTTACCTTGCCATCATATCCTCATGCACCACTATAATAATAAAAGAAAAATAATTAACTTTAAATGATTATATTCATGAAAAAATAATCTTTATAAAAATATATCTCAGATAATCATAATAATTTTAACTTTTATTATCATTTACTATAGATGAACTAGCCAAAACTTTTCCTGCTAAAACCCAGTAATTTTCAATTATTGATCAAGTAGTAATCAATTATTTCCTTGGAGCTTAACCTTGAATACAAATGTATTGCACGTGTACATAAATATATTACATGTGCTAATTTCCAAGACAATTTTTAACTTGCCATGTTCATGACTGTCACATATTATTTATGTAATAAAAAGCATTTAAATACATTTAAAAAATATCAAATTTATTACATTTTCACTAATCTATATTTTCTGTAAACTTGTATTTTTTTTCTACAGATAAATAAAAGTGTAGTCCATAGCATGGTATCTATTTTACACCAATTATAAGTAATGCTATCTATGCAAGATATTTCTATCCCATATAACAAATAATTCTCTACTAAAAATTAAAACAGCAGCAAAACACACAAAAACATTAAATAAAGCAAAGAATACCACATGGATGAAATGAAAAAACAGTACATAAAAATGTTAAAATGCATAATATACAAAAAAGAAGCATAAAAAGCAGTGTAGAAAAACCATTACAAACAGTTGACCACCAGATGAAAAAGAAAACAGGTACACTGATCTCAAATACTAGACTAC